CTGTGGAGCGTGTGGTGTCGTAAGTGCCTTACCCAATCGGGTATGATTACCAGTCAAATGCATGGCGATGCATCCAGCCGATGGTGTTTCGCACGGCTGCCAAAAATACACACTGCGTTGTTGATGTGCGACAAGCTATCATATGAAGATAATGGGCATAAAACTAATAGCACTGCTGCCGGGTGTGCTCGAGATCTGGAAGTTATGGAGATTGCGAGAACAACAGGTAAAGTAGTAGATAGGATACTCTAGAAAAGCTTGACCTGGAGTCTACCGTAAACGTTAGCAAAATAAAGTCAGCGAACGCAAATAGCGTGATATCGGTTAACGTATAGTATAGTCAAGGAAAATGAACCAAGGGAGATGAAGGGGAAGAATGTAAGAAAGAGAGAGGAAAGGGGGTCATCCAGAAATCGGAGCTGTGGAGAGAGAGCTGTAGACCGACAAAAATCTAGTCTAATTAACAGGCCAAAAAGGGCAAAACGAACATAGATGGATGTAAGTCACGCAGTGTCTCACAATATAACGCATTTCGCCTTCTTTTTGGGCATAGACGGTTCTAAAGCGGCAACAATTGCTTCATCGAAAACATTCTTCAACCCGCGTTGCGTCAATGCAGAGCACTCTACATATTTAACTGCGCCTAACTCCTTGGCGAGTTTTTCGCCTAGATCAGCAGTAATTGGACGCATTTTGTAGTAAGCCAAACGCTGAAGCACCGCAGGTTCGTCCCTTTGATCTATTTGCGTTCCAACCAGAAGACAGGGGACACCAGGACAATGGTGTCGAACTTCGGGGAACCATTTTTCCTTCACGTTTTCAAAGCTAGCAGGGTTTGTAACCGAAAAACAGACAAGGAATATGTCGGTCTGCGGATATGACAGGGGTCGAAGACGGTCGTAATCTTCCTGGCCGGCGGTATCGAACAGACCTAATGTGAAGGGCTCGTCGCCTATCATGACAGTCACAGCATAGTTGTCAAACACTGTAGGCACGTATTCTGAGGGGAACTTGTTGTTGGTATAAGATATGAGCAGGCAAGTCTTTCCTACGGCACCGTCTCCGACGACGACGCATTTTATTGTTTGCTGCATGGTATGGTTGTGGCTATGTTTTTGGGCTTGTCAGGCCGCTGGCAAAGGGGAACTCTCGTAACTTTTCGAACTGGTCAGATCAGGAGCGGCAAATAGACCTTCGTGTTTCCAAGTAGTTTCAAATTGTGCGCGTCAAAAATACTTGTACAGGGTTCTATGGAAGTAAACAGCCAACTACTCGTACGTGTCCCTCTGTCTAAGTGTATCTTTTAAGCAGCAAACGTGTCTGTACTTATCAATCTTACCACTCGACAGTAGAAGGAGGGGGGAAGATGGGATTGGCGTTGATGAGTGGTAGGGCGACATACTCCAGGCCGGCGTTTGCCCACCTTATGGTTGCCTGGCAACGCGCTTTAAGTTTGCCCCGGTTTTGACAGTTGGCTCGCTTTTCGGCTGTTTATTAGCGACTACGACGAAGTGTAGATGCTATTTTCTGCTTTAAAACGTGCTTTTTGGTAAATTCTTACCATTACAAACCTATACACACTGTATTGGTGCATGTTTCAAACGGGAGTGGTGAACTGAGACGCGAGTCACCACTTCTGCTCTGATCTGTGGTACACTACTGTTAGACGACGGCGCTTGCTCAGCACCCTGCTACGCTAGCTGCAAATACAATTATTTAGCTTTGAGGCACCTTTTTGTCATGTAAGTCATTAAAAAACGAGCCTCAGTATGTCTTTGGGGCGCAGGAGACCATTACCTCGCCAACTCTCAAGGCTGGAAGGCCGTCCTCTCACTTGGACCCTCCCACCTGCAAAGGCCTAGGAATCTGCCACAGGCCTTTTCCCCGCCCACCATTATTACACATTATTAGCACAACATATGGCCGATGACCCAGAGAAGGGTCCTAGCAAATCTGAATGGAAGCCTTCTGGCAGACGAAAGACAGAGCATTTCATGATCGTCCTGTTCCTAGTCGTAGAATGCGGTTTGATGTTCGCAGTATCTGCCAACTTCCAGACCCTTCACCAAGCATACCCGTACGCCGTAACAGCGCTAGTGTCGTCGATTCTGGCCGCTATATCGCAACTGCTTAATCAATTACTGTTTGTTCACAAGTTTATGCCCGCACGCACGCTAAAGTTCCACACATGGGGCACAGTCAACGGTATCATCAACAAGTACTGGTACGACCTCATTACACCGCTCTTTCCCAGCATCCCTCTGCGCGTAATCATAGACCAGTGTATAGGCACGCCTGTATTTAATGTCTTGTTTCTGTCCTTCAGTGCTCTTTGGGAAAACCACAATATCCCCTACACAGTTCGCACGAAGCTGCGTACAACGCTCACTAGCGCATACATCATATGGCCGCTCTTCTCCTTTGTCTCGTTCCAGTTTATACCTCAACATCTCATAGTACCCGCTGCTGGCATTGTGGGTATTCTATGGACACTCATTCTCAGCAAAATCACAGAATCTTGACCTGGCTCTTCTCCGCCGTTCGCGCCTTCTGCTTGGAATTATGAATACCAAAATATAAGAAAACCTTATTTCAATGCACGATCTCCAAACCTTTCGTTCTCACAACAACTATCTTGCACGCTGCAGATACGCGCTTCTTTCTCTTGCCGCAACGTTTTTCGCATCTCGCATTTATTTAACTGGCACTATTTAAGCATCGACTGTACGCGTTATTCAGAACCTCCATTGGCCACACCTTCCTCGTCACTTACTTACCCCGCTTCAAGCTGCCATTCAATCGCGTCAAACTGTTTCGCACTGTAATCGCTCTTCGCGCCTGTAAGCCAATCGTACGGTCTTCGTTATTCATCTCAACAATGTCTTCCGGCTCAACAAGTTTAGCTGCTTTTTTCGGCAAGCGCCAGCCCTTATCGACATCTGCCGTTGAGAACAACGCGACGCCATCGAGCTCGCCCCCACCAAAGAAGACTAAACTTGATCAGTCTGATGCCGCAAATACCTCTGGTATGCCATCTTCGTCGTCCGCTCCTTCTGCAAACTCTTCGATCCCGTATGCTGATGTTTGCGCGGTATTCGAGCAAATCGAGGGTACCACCAAAAGACTTGAGATCATATCCTACTGTTCGGAGTTCTTTCGCCAAATACTGGACCGCAGTCCCCATTCGCTTTCAACTGTAGTCTATCTATTTATCAATCGACTGGGTCCAGACTATGAAGGGCTTGAATTAGGTCTTGGTGATAGCATCTTGATGAAAGCCGTGTGCGAATCAACTGGAAAAACTCTGGCTAACCTTAAAAAGGATATGCAAGAAACGGGTGATCTAGGCACAATTGCAAATGCTGCTAAATCGTCTCAGCGCACAATGTTTAAGCCTCAGATGCTTACTGTTGATGGCGTGTTTAAAGATCTCCATACGATCGCGCAGACTACAGGTGCCCAATCTCAATCGAGAAAAATTGGCCTCATAAAGAAACTAATTGTGAATTCTCGCAATAATGAAACCAAATTTCTCATAAGATCACTGCAAGGCAAGCTCAGAATTAGCTTGGCTGAAAAATCAGTGCTCACAGCTTTAGCGCGTGCTTTTGCTATGCACGAAGCCGACATTGAAGGGAAGTCGGTCTCTGAAGAGAAGTTGAAAGAGGCGGATGTAATATTTAAATCAGTGTTCAGCAGGGTGCCTTCTTATGAGACAATCATTGAGGCTGCCCTGAAATACGGCGTAAAGGGACTGACAGAGCACTGCGTTCTTGTGCCTGGTATACCGCCTAAACCGATGTTGGCCAAACCAACTAAATCTATCACAGAAGTGCTAGATCATTTTTCTGACTTGGATAATCATTTTACTTGCGAATATAAGTATGATGGCGAGCGTGCTCAAATTCATATGACGGAGGATGGTTCTTTCAAAGTATATTCGCGAAATTCGGAAGACATGTCACAAAGGTATCCTGATATTCTCAGCTCTATTAACAAGTTTATTACACCTTCTGTCAAGAGCTTTATCATTGACAGCGAAGCAGTTGCGTGGGATCGCCAGAAACATACGATCTTACCATTTCAAGTGTTATCTACGCGAAAACGCAAAGATGTTCAGGAGTCAGACATTTCCGTGCGAGTTTTTGTATTTGTGTTTGATATTTTGTACCTCAATGGCCAAGATTTACTCTCAAAGTCACTAACTGAACGCCGTGCGATCCTCCAGGAGCACTTTAGTCCAGTGGAAGACTGCTATGGCTTTGCAACTTTTGAGAACTGCCGAGAAGTTGAAGCTATACAGGACTTTTTAGATCAAAGTATCAAGGATAATTGCGAAGGCCTGATGATAAAAGCCCTTGATGGTCCAGAGAGTCATTATTTGCCAAGCAAGCGAACGCAAAACTGGCTTAAACTGAAAAAGGACTACTTGGACGGTATTGGCGATACCTTAGATTTGGTAGTGCTTGGAGCCTTTTACGGTAAAGGCAAGCGCACGAACTGGTACGGTGCGTTCCTTCTTGGATGTTACAATCCTAACACTGGTGAATACGAAACCACATGCAAAATAGGAACTGGGTTCTCCGAAGAGGTGTTGGAACAGCTCTACAAGGAACTGTCGCCACTAGTGACATCGAAGAAATCGTATTACAAACACGATCAAAGTGGACCATCTCAACCTGACGTGTGGTTTGAACCAAAAATGGTATGGGAAGTATTAGCGGCTGATCTTTCACTGTCTCCTATATATAAAGCCGGCGCGGATAGCATGCCGAAAGGCATATCACTAAGGTTTCCGCGATTCATACGGATTCGTGACGATAAAGCGACTGAAGATGCTACGACTTCAGACCAAATAATTGAGTTCTACAAAAGACAGGCCAGCGTCGCTGGGCAGTCAAAAGCGGACGATTCAGATTATGATTAATATTATATTAAAGAAATACACTCCTTTCAAATTTTAATCGATGGCTCAATAATAAAAAATATAAAAAGAGAGCTGCTCCAGGAGGGGGTCGAACCCACGACCGTCGCGTTCTCACACGACCGTGACATCAGCATAGACGTCGTTGTACGGCTATAAGCACGAAGCGCTAAACCACTGCGCCACTGGAGCAGACCCTCGGCTTAACTTAGTGATCAGTTACTATATAAGCCTAAGTAGGGTTAGGTCTCCAAGTGATCCTTTTATACTCAAAATCTTGTCCTTTGATAATAGTTTGATTATTGTTGCACTTCACAGAACAATTACATGGAACCGTAATCAAGGAGCAATTGAATTGAATGATAGCAATAGTAACTGCTAGTATTTGAGCGTTGTCGAAGCCTTAAAGCAAGGCAAGGCCGATGTATACCTGAAAGGTGCGGGGATTAAAGTTTTCATCTAAGATGGGTGAAGCTCATGGAATAAAGACAAGATATGTAGACGTGATTGGCCGATCGAATTAGCATTCCGATGGCGGGATAGAAAGTTCGAGCATATAATTAATATATAAATAGGTAGGTCCAATAAGATTAAGTACGATCTAGTATTACTCAATTGAAAAGATGACTAAAACGCTTTTGTCGGGAGCATCAGGATTCATTGCTGCGCATATACTGCAAAAGCTGCTTGCGCGCGGAGATACAGTTGTTGCAACGGTTCGCAGTCAAAGCAAAGCTGATTTCATTGCTGGAAAATATGAGAACGAAGTGAAAACAGGTCAATTGAGTTTTGCGATCGTTCCTGATATTTCTGTTTTGGGTGCATTCGACGATGCTGTTACAGAGGACTTGGACGTAGTTGTGCATACAGCTTCGCCTTTCCATCACAACATTACCGATCCCGATAAGGATATTCTTCTTCCTGCTATCAATGGCACCAAGAGCATGCTTGAAGCGGTGTACAAGTACGGTAAGAACGTCACTAGGCTGGTTATCACGTCGTCGTTTGCTGCGATTGTGGATCCGTTCAAGCCTACCACGCCCGATGTAGTATATACTGAGGAATCGTGGTCTCCGTTGACGCTTGAACAAGGCCGAAAAGACAAAAACTGTACCTATCGTGCTTCCAAGACAGTTGCTGAGCAGACGGCTTGGCAGTTTTTGAAAGATCACCCTGACGCCAAGTTCTCTATCACTACCGTGAACCCGCCGTTTGTATGGGGACCTATTCTCAACGACATCAGTGTTGGCAACTTGAACACGTCCAACGAGGTGTTGTACAAAGTACTCACTGGCAAGCTTGGACCGGAGTCTAAATTTCCGGTGGCGTTCTTTGTTGATGTCAGAGATGTTGCAATGGCACATGTTCTTGCCGCTGATCCTTCCAACAAGGAGATCGCCAACAAGCGGTTGTTCGTGAATGGCGGTCATTTTAATCTTGAGCTCGTCGCCACTATAATGCGCAAGCTGTTCCCGAACGAGAAGCGTATTGATCCGAATTTCGGGTCTACAGATATAGAAACTGTGCGAAAGAATTCGCCTAGCTATGACAATTCTGCCACTACCAAGCTGCTCAAGTTTGACTACATTCCTCTGGAGAAGTGTATCAAAGATTTCGTTGAGCAAGTCTACACTTTAGAGAAGTCGTAGATTATTTTTTACAAATATATATATATATAAACGCTATCGCTGTATAAATGTACTATATATTTAGTGTAGTATCTACACGTCCATATGCTTGATCATGACAGCGTTGGCTCGCCCGCCCTTGATTTCAGCAGACGCGAGGATCTGTTCGAGCTCGTTGAACTCGTCATCGGTCAGCGAGAAGTCAACAATGTTCTCTTTCACTCTTTCGGGAGAGGATGCACCAGGTATCGGGATCAATTGCAGTCCAGGGAACAGCTTTTCGTGGTACATGATCCATGCGAGAGCTACCTGAGAGGCCCGGACGCCTTTCCTCTCGGCGAATTCGTAGATCAAGTCAGACGTGCGCTGGTTGGCAGCAAAGTTCTCGGGGCTAAATCGATCAAAGTGCTGTCGCAAATCGTCGCCATTGTACTTGGTCTGACCGCGGAAAGCACCTGCAAGGAAACCGCGCGCAAAGGGTGAGTAGCAGACCACGGTAACGCCGTTTTCAGCAGCAACTTTGAACATACCGTTAGAACGAGGCTCAGTGGTGAACATTGAGAACTCGATTTCGACAGCATCGATCTTCTGCACCGCACAGGCCTTCTCGAGTGTCTTCGCGCTCACCTCCGAAAGAGAAATTGCCTTAATCTTGCCGGCCTCAACGGCTTTGGCAAGGGTGGTAACAATATCCTCAATAGGCACATTGGCATCGACACGAGCCGGTTCGAAAACATCGAGCGTTTTAGGCGCAAGGTGTTTCGCGATATTGTCGATCGAGGCCATCAGCGATTCAGGGTCGCTCTGCGGGGAGAAATCAGGGCCGATGGCGCCCTTCACGCTCACCACTGCCTTGTCAAGGTACTCCGGGTACTTCTTGAAGAACTCCGACAAATAATCCAAGTTCTCACAAGGACGTTCAGGCGCATTGTAGAATTCACCTGCATTGAGAAAGTTGTAGCCAGCATCGAGAGCCGTCTTGATCGCCGCAAACGCCTGTTCTCGCGGCACTGAAACAGGTCGCCATGTAAGGTTCATAAGACCGAGACCAATTGGTCCAATTGCTTTTCCTGCGAGAGTGCTCATTGTCTGTTCGATTTCTGATGCTTTACTTAACAGGATTTTCAGGCCTTTATATATTAATTTAACACCTGTGGATATCCCCGTACCACGGACATAAACACCGCCTGAACCAAAAATAGAGTTTAGAAGGTTTGTCAACACCCCTCCTGCTTAGCACCTCGCCAGTGACCACCGCCATTACGCATCGGAATACCCGGCACGTTGAAATCCGTGCAAATAAACTCATATGATTAACAGTTCCGGAACTGCAACCTCAAGATGGATCCGGCCGCAATGTAGAGATCACATGGGTATTTCAAAGTTTTTCCCCGAGAACGAAAGTCATTCCAGCCTCTGTGCACCAACTATGCAACATCCAAAAAAGACTACTTGAAAGATCTCGATTGCGTTCAAGTCTGGAACACTCAGAATTCTAAATGAGATTGATGCCAGTGTGACAATTCCAATACTCCAAGCAGTTGCGTGCCTGACTGTTGCGATCCTGGTCCACTGCGTGTCTTTTCCTTCACTTAACGCAACGTTTACTTGTCTTTGAATTCGGTCTCTGCGGTTATAGTCCGGACACATGAACTAAACCAGAAGAGACTCTACAGAAACTGTCCTCTGTAATCCTCCTAGTTCCTCAACTGTCGTCTTTCAGCAGTCTTGGTCTACTGCTTCAGGCATAGTCACGGCATACGACGGCTTTGCTGCTCCTATGTCTCTTAAACAACTGATTTCTACTGCTACGCATCCACTCCAGCTGTAATCACCTACGTCCCTAAACCGCCTCTGATCAGCGAATCAAACACTTATGTTGAAAAATTGCGATAGTGCATTATTACAAAACGTAGCATTGTTATGCGCCTGATCACGCCAAAATGAGGGGAGATACATTGGGTGTTTCCTAGTTAGGCAGTCATACTTCGCACTTACACTCTACCAACACTACACTGCCCTAGAGCATTCACATGAATCATAATGCCGCTTTACCAGGCTCACGGTAAAGTTAAGATAGGGCAAGTTCATCGGTACCAAATATTCTACACGCCGAGCCGCGATGCCGTTGCGAACATCAAATCGCTACACTTGAGAGTGCGCAACGAGGAGAACATCGCCCTCAGAGGCCTCTATTTCAGCGGCCCTTTCCTACTTTACGCCCACGTATATCCAGAACAATTCAATCCTTTCCGTAAATCGCCACCGAACCTATGTCCGTCATTTAATCCGACCATCAGGCCGGCGCAGTCCTTTCATACCGATCTTCCGGTGCCTAGCAAAGACGGCACACATGTCTGGATAGTCGACATAGTCTCACAGCTGATCTTCTCGCGTGGGTCCGAGGTGGCGTTTTCGTTGACAATCGGACACACTAAAGAGGACACCGCAAACCTGCTACCGCAAGACGGATCGGCGTCGCCTGCGCTCCAGGCCGTTCACAAGGATACTCTTGATCTCTGGAACTTGCCAGTCGTCGTCCCGTCCAAACCACTGCATCTCGTCGTCTTGAGTCACGGCCTGTACTCGAATACGTCTGCAGACATGCTCTTTTTGAAAGAGTTTATTGACTCTGCTGTGGCGAAAACCGGCGAAGCCGTCGCTGTCCGTGGCTACTTCGACAACGCCGGCCTCACAGAACGAGGCGTCAAGTATCTCGGCAGACGCCTGGCTAAACATATCCACGACAAGCTAATGACTCCCGATGTTACTAAGATATCATTCATTGGCCACTCTTTAGGCGGTCTTGTTATGACTTACGCTATCGCATACCTCAATGTCCACTACCCGTCTGTCTTCAAACAGGCTGAACCAATCAACTTCATTACCCTCGCCAGCCCGTTGCTTGGCCTCACTGGCGAAAATCCCATGTACGTCAAGCTGGGCCTGGATATCGGCGTTCTCGGCCGCACAGGCCAGGACCTCGGCTTGACTTGGCGCCCGTCGCTCACCGCAAAGCATCCCGTCCTCAAAGTATTGCCTACAGGCCCGGCTGCCGAGATCCTCCGTCGGTTCCATCGTCGCACTGTTTACGCGAATGTTGTAAACGACGGCATTGTGCCACTGCGTACGTCTTCGTTGCTTTTCCTTGATTACCGTGCACTCCGGCGAGCGCATAAGATCAAGCAAGAGGAAAGCAAGCGCCGCGCGTCTGTGTCGTCTCAGCGGTCTGTCGAACATACTAACGGCGATGCGGACCAGGACGGTCCACAGAGGCTGCAAGTAGACGCACAGCTTTCAGACCTTAACAGCAAAGATATTGCAGACGAGTCTCGGTTCTCTAGCGAACCTGGATCTCCTGCGAGCGTCTCTGCCTCATCCAAATCACAGACAGTTGACTCCGACGGAAAACTTTCGCATTCATCTAGTGAAGTCACAAAAGCGAGCCCGAACGCCTCTAAAGACGAAAACCCGATAGTGAGCTTTTTCCAGCCGCTGGGCTCGCTATTCTCTTCGCTGATCCGCCCTCAAGGTGGTGGCTCGAAGATCCCGTCGGCCATTCTC